GGATCTTGCCCTTGATGCTGTAGATCTGGCTGCCGCAACAAACCCACCCGCGTAGATCGCAAGGAAGCATCCGGAGCAAGTACTTCAGGACGGCTTAAGTGCGGCGACCACACAAAACCCATCTCATTCAAACAGGCTGCGTCTTCTGCACTCATCTTAGCACTGTCCCGGACCGAGTAAGCCAGTAGCACCACACGATTGCCACCTGACCAAGACCGCGTGGAGTGCGTGTGCTTGGGATTGAAGAAAATAGGCACTTGACCCACATCCAAAACTTCCACACCACCAGGGCCATCAACCTCCAAACCACCTTCCTTGAAGGACGACAAAGCCGCTATCATACTCGTACCCACATTGTGGATGTCCTTGTGGCCCTTTGCCTCCACATTGATGTTCACCGCCAAAGAGTTGAACTCATGGTTGGGAGCGATTTGTCGAACATACTTAGCCAGGACCTTGGTGGCGAATGGGAAGGCTGTAGTGGCCTTCTTCAAGCCTGCAAAAGGACCATGAATGAAAGCTCCGGATGCCCAAACCTTCTGTCCATCCTGAGCTCCAAAACGCTTTGGCGCAGCCGTAGTTGCCGGAAGCAGGTACGCCAGCATCTCCAACTGGTCTGGCTCCAGGTGCTCCTCCTTAAGAAGTCCAAGGGCATACTGTTCTGCTGCATGCTCGGGATCGTGCTCTCCAACATCTATATCCATGGGATCCGCTCCTGCAACACCTTCCATGGAAGATTTTTCCCGTACTCTTCTTGTTGGACGCAAATGTGCAGAGGTCATGAACTGTCCATCCTCAAAACGCACCACATGCCCACCTCGAACATCCAAACTGGGCCCCACATATATCCCAGCTCGCCATCTCAAATCAAGATCATGGCGGCCTCCTGCGCCATACACTTTCGAGCGGACATGCACAGGTGTTCCAAAAGGTAGTACATCCTGCCCACGACCAAGCTGCGATTCTCTTCTTGCCCAAGTTGCATACACAGAAGCCATCGCCCAGCACGACTTTGGAAGGGAGGTCGCTGTAAGCAGCTTCTTGGTTTGAGCCTTCACCCACTTGACAGCATTTTCAGCTCTTCCATTGGCCTGAGGGGACTGTCCCTCTGTGTACGTTGACACCGTACCACGCTGTAAAAGCCATCTACGAAGGGGAGTAGTTCTGAGCTCCCGCGCCCGGTCCGCATGCACCCTGGCAATGTGTAGCCCTTCAGCACGAAGAGTTAAGAACACTTCTTGCACGGCAGCGTGTACTTCGGCAGACGTTCTTGACCTCAACGGGCGGGAGATGTAGAAGGTGTCCATGTCGAACTCCTCACCAACTTCATGGAAGATTTTCTCAAACTCCTCCTGAGTTAGGCCCTTTTAATCATCCTCTTCACCGACAAAGGGGATTTCCTCTACATCCTCAACAAAAATGTCATCCTCCTCCTCAGCCAACACAGGACCAACATCCAAAATCGCCACGAACCCCGCCATCACACTTCAAAGGCGCTGCCGCTTCATCACCTGAGGGGGCATACTCTAGGCAATCGTCTGGAGGATGTTGGTCACCATGAGAACCCAAAGCAGCCCTTGGCTCGTTCTTAGCCCGTCCACTCTTCCCCTCAGTCTTCTCCAGCTTGGGGTAGGTGTACGCACCGATCAGCACGTAGCGATAGTTGCGGTGGTCTGGGTCTGCCGCTTTATTGCGGAATGGGCCTGCTATGTCAAGACTGAGGCAATGCGCGCTTGGATGCTTGATGCGTCTGTGCATGCGCCCCACTCCGGAGCTTGCAACGCAGGTACGGCATCTCCTATTGTATGGAGTGTGATTGTTCCTCACATGGGTGCGCCACATTCGAAGTTCCTTCTCGGAGAAGCCCTCCAAAAAACCCTTGACATCAAGCTTCTTAGCCCACTTGACAACCTGAAGCGCCTCAGGCTCCCTTCTCCAGCGCCGTACCGCATCCACAATCGCCGTCTTGAAGGAGGAACTCCATGTTATACCCGTGGAAGTAGTACGTTCCAAAGGAAGAATGAAGTCCAGGTTGGTAGCCATGACCCCAGCTACTTCTTCCAAACGCATCTCCTCCAATACCAAAGGCCAAACTTCCCGAAGAGCTTCCCACCCTTGGCCAAAGCCACCCTTGATGGTCTCAAAGAGCTTGCGGCCCTCAACAACTGCAAACACTGGAAACTCACCCTGCCTGATTGCTGCAGCCTTAGCCACAAGCGTTAACCACAGCTGCTTCATCACCAATGGCGCGTCGGATGAGTTTCGGCTAGGGGGCGCTCCAATAACTCCTGCCACACGGCCAGTTGCTGCAGCCCATAACAAGCCGCGATACACTCCTCCGAACCTGTTCATGTCAACGGCCTTGGATCGGGTTATATCCACCTCAAGCAGGACACGGCCATCATCAAGCTCCTTGAGGACAGGGTCAGCTCCCTTCCCAGCTCCCGCATAGAGGTGAACGATCCATTTGGCCGCCAACATCCTCTTTCTCTTCTGTCTCGAGACCGGAAATGCGTTCAAGTAGTCCCAGCCAGCCTTATCGGTGAGGAGGATTTCTTCTGCCAAGGAAGCCCTCTGCAAATCAGTCAAAGCTCGAAAAGGCGAATCACTCGCACTCAAAGCCAACAGCTGGGAACCCCGACTTCCATCTGCCAAAAAGGACTCAAGGTGGGTAGCCCAGTCCTGCTCACAGCCCCAAGACCATATAGCATTGGCAGTCCGCGAAGTTGCCATTTCAAGCTCTGCCACCTTCAGTTCCTCCAACTCTCGGATCAGATCCAAGGCGCAGGCCTCACCAACCAACGGACATTTTCCAACCACACGCGGCTTGATGACCCCATGGCTGGGATGCTTGATCTCGAGGCCTCTGCGCCGAGTCCAAGTCAGATCACATCCAAGGTCTTGGACAAGTGAGCCAAGAGGAACTATAGGGACAGCCTCACCAGAAGTAGCCGATGTCGCCAGCAGCGTTCCTCCACGATTTTGTGCCAAAGTGACCTCAGCACCGTTGGCAAGCTGGACCTTAACCTTGGCGGCGGCCTCAACCTCTTCATCCCTAGCCACTCGAAAGGCATGAGATGCACCTGAGTCCAAAAGCCCGCTGCGACCATCTTGATGATTACAATGGTGAAAACTCGCCATGTTCTCAACCTCTGTTGAACGCAAAGACAACATCTTTAACTGCCGCATCTCCTTTAACATAGCATTGGCCTCTTGCAGAAGATTCTTCAAGTCGGAGTCCGGAACTTCCACAGGTGGCACGGTTCCTGAGTCCCCACCACTGGAGGAGGACACCGATGTCACCACCGCCGCCTTGGCCTGGGCCGGTGCAGCCTTAGGTGGTACAGTTGTTGTTGCCGAAGTTGACGAGGAGGACTTGGCAGCACTAGCCTTCGCATTGGCCTTGGCAGTGGGACTTGCTCCGTCCCCCTTGACTGGACAACCAGCTTGCTGATGTTGTCGGCTACCGCAAGTCCAACATCTTCCTTGCTTCTATTTTCTGGTGAAGGCATGCGACCATGTACATGAAGCCCCCTTTGAACATCCAGCATCTGTAAGGAAGAACTTGCAAGGAAGAAGTCCTGCCTTGGCCTTAGCCTTTGGAGATGGCGAGCCACCAGGGCTAGGTTCTCCAGCCGGTTGGGTACTGGCAGGTATTCCGGCGCCATCGATTGCCTTCACAAAGGGAGTGCCCGAGCTACTTGGAGGACCTCCTCTAGAGGCCACCTGCTCAAACTCAGACACAAGAGCGTTATGGAGATCCCATACCCCCTTCTCAGTTGGCCTTGTGTCCACCTCCAGCGTGTACCTGAGCATGCTGATGCGGAAGCTGATGTCCTGGTGATCCAGCAGCGGCCTTTTGTCAAGCCATCAAGTCCTCGCAAAAGGACGCTCGGATCCGGCCTCTGTAGCCCCATATCCGTGGCGCGGGACATCCACCTTCCCCACTTTCTCAAGGAAGCCACGGCCTCATTAGCATTCGCGGCAGGCGGGGGAGACTCCAAAGAAGCCAGCGCCTGTTGCCTCTCCACCACCGAGCCTGGACGGTAAAGTACCACCACCCTTGCAAGAATGGCCAAGGTGCCATTCAAACGAGAGGCCAAAAGCTCCTCCTTCACAGAATCGGAGAAGCTTGCCATAAGCATGGCCGCTGCCCGCTTGTCCACGCGTGCCCATCTCTGGTCCTTGAGCTCGGCCGACTCATAGTCCTCAGGACGCAAAGCAAGTTTCCCAACATGGGAGGCTCGAGTGTATGTCTCGTAGTAGGCCTTGAGGCATGTCATAATCTCACGCCACCACAACCCACTGGCATTGGAGAGGTCCCCCATATAGTTCTGGGTACCATGGAGCCAGTCGCCAATATCAATGGCTGAGTTCGAAGAGACTTCCGGTAGCTTAGGTAGATCTATGGCTCCAGTTCACGATCTCGGGCTCCCTGGCCTTCAAACTCAAAGACTCCTTCATCGCAGTCTGGAGCTGCGTCATCCCTTGAACCAACAATCGAAGGGGGTCTAAAGCGCCTGACGGCGCCTTCGGAGCTTCTGACTGCCCCACATCAACCGGAGGCTCACTGGTACCGGTTCTGAAGCCTGAATCTCAGCCCTCTGGGACTCCAAGAGGATTGCTGCCTTCATGGCTTCGACCTCCATACTGACCAGCAAGATTGCCCCCAAATACACCAGGACCTTCTCGAAGACTAGGAGGAGAACCCAATAGTCTTCCCGAACCGCCCTGAACTTCAAAACCGTCACCCAGGCGCCTTCCTTCACCAGGTTGTCGAAGAGGGTCTTCATCTGGTCGCAGTCCAGATGCCTGATCAAGGCCAGGAGGAATTCCTACGCGCGCTTCTTGTTGTTCGGGTAGAGGGGCGCTTCCCTGAGGTTCCACATGGTTTTCTTGATACAGCTGACCAACTTGACCCTGTAGCCCGGGCTGGGCGGAATGAACAAACTGCTCAACCAACGCCTTCAACTTCACATTCTCAGCCTCTAGAGCCTCGTTGTCTATGAAACTCCTGCATCTCAGTGGCCACCTGCTTCTGCACTTCATTCAGCACTTGCTCCCGCGTAATTGAACCCGTAGAGGAATCACTAGGTTGTTGAGGAGAAGGGTTCAAAAGCGGGCCCTGTCTACGCCAGCGTCGTCCCCATTGCTGCATTGCGCTCTCGGCCTCTGGAGTCATAAGTCCTTGACGACCAGCTCCGTCTTGCCAGCTCCTGGGAGGCGACAAAGGGGTTCTTGAAGGGGGAGTTGCTCTGGCAGCCGTTCGAGCTTCAATCAAAGGAGTCACCAAAGAAGCTCCAGCTTGACTTACTCGTCGCTGCAAAAACTCTCCCAACCTCATGAACCAGACATTAGGTGCTGAACTGCTAGTGCCTGCACTACTGTCAAAGCGTGGAAGCTCTTCAGGAGGGGAGAACGTCACCCCTTCGACAGTCACTTGATGTGCAACATGCTCTGTGGCCACAGCAGGTGTACTGAATGGAGGAAGCACAGTGTTCTCTGCATAAACTGCTGCCGATGCTGCTTGCTGCTGGAGCTGGGTGGCAGTGGTTTGTGTGGTGATAGGTGCACGCACGCTGTCTGTAGTGTATGCGCTCGCGCCGTCCACGGCCGGTGCAACGAAAACAGAAGACGGCTCTACACCATCACTTGCACTGAACACCACGGTTCCAGAACCATTCACAGCATTTACTGAAACACCTTGCTCTGCGGACCCGTACAAGGGGCCAGCTGTTTCGCCCTCCATCACAGTACTTGCAAACAGCGCAGTCTGAGCGTTTGGGCTCATAGCCTGGCTTTGCACCCCATCAGGAATGCTCATTGGTGGCAACAGCAAGGGCACTAGGAATCCATGAACCCTCGGCACAAGCTGTTTTACCGGCAGAAAGTCCTGATCAAACGTGCTC